CTACGTTCACACCTACACACTGCCGTGCTTATACCACTGCATCTACTCGCCAACTACACACAACCATATGATATCACATACTCACTCCACTACTACCATCCATCATATAACTACAACCTCCTCTCAGCTATCAACGCATTTCTCACCTTCTGGCTCATCGCCATCACCTATCTAATATACTCACTAACAATACCACTCGACGTTCTACACCTACGGTCACACCTACGCACTGCCGTGCTATCACCACTATTACTACTTACCAAGTACAGACAACCACATGATATCACCTACTTCAAACCGTAATCTAATACTCACTCTATTCGACACCTCACCTACTCACTCCACTACCCACTATACCACCTCACCTTCTGGCTATTCGCCTTTGGCTACCTCCTCTACGCACTACTCTTCCCCCTTGACATTCTCCACATCCTCTCACATTAGCGCCTCGCCTACACCCACCATCTACTACCACTGCATCTACTCGCCGACAATATACCCGCATCTACTACATTGTACTTCAAACCGTAATCTAATACTCACTCTATTCGACACCTCACCTATTCACTCCACTACTACCATCCATCATATAACTACAACCTCCTCTCAGCCATCAACTCACTCCTCCCTTCCATCCGCAAACCCTTCCTGTACTACCTCTTCACATTCTGGCTTGTGGCCATTCTGTACTTCAGCTACGGTCTAACAATACCTCTAGACCTCCTCCATATCCGTTCACATTGGAGACGTGCATTGTCCCATCAAATATCGGTGTTGGAGTTATTATCACACAAGGCAATGTCACCAACAAAGGTTGGATATTTCACACCGTAAGATGTCATCACATATCAATCTAATGTCATCAAATCTCTGTTCGTGTGTATTGGGCAGATTGATGGTTTCACAAGAATTTCATGTTCTACACCCCCTTCCGCATGCACGGCACAGATATTCAGATAAGGTGTGTGGCTAGCTACCCCATCGAAGATGTGTGGAGAAACACACTACATGGTAGACATCGTAGTGAGGATGAAGACATACAAATAGAACCGTAGGTGAAGTCTGTTGTTGTGTTAAGGCGGAAGACGCCGAGGTTGGATACAATCTATTATGACACTATCGCTACTGGCACTCTAAACAGAACGAGTGTGACATCGACAAGTGATTGAACTAATGTATTTAATTAGTCACGGCACTACCTATGGGTAGTACATCACACGATAGTTAA